CTTAATTGCTACCTTTTAATAAAAATTTATCGTTGACCTTCCATTGAAATCATTGCTACCGTTGCATTAAAAATTTTATTGCTACCTCTTATTAAAAACTTCGGCTACCTTCGCGAGGCTGGATCAATTTCTCTGGGTGATGCAATAATGCTCCCCGAGACGTAATTGTCCGCCATTTTGTGGATTCCGGTTGGGCATGGGGACGCTCTTAGTTAATTAATTTTCATGGTTGGAATCCATAAAAGCTATCATGCTACCTCTCGCGAATTAGGATTACTTTTATATGGTTACGCAATTAATTAACCAATTAATCCGATTACTTATTGGCAGTCTCGGAGACGCCATCGGGTATATAATTTATTAATTCGTTAGGAAAATAATCCGTGCATTAATTAATAAATTCGCCGTTCAGACCCGTACAACAGTGGAATCACGAAGTAAACCCTCAATAATCAAACGGGAAAATCTTGGGTCACGGCTATCTGCCCAAGCACGGTTGTCGATTTAGCCCGTGATCGGAAAAGTTTATACCAGACCCCCAAATGACGCTACCTAAGCTGGGGAATAGGCGACCTATACATTCCCCAGGGTCTGAGGCCCTTTCTGTAATTTTCAATATTTCGATTTGCTAACTGTACGGATATCTACCCTGCGGACCCTATTGGTTTAGATAATCGATATTGAGTAGGCTACCTAACCGGGAAAACACGTTACCTAAGGGCTCCCTGCATCGGAGGACCTTTCCGCTACCTTGAAATTTTATTACACCCCCGGCATGATGGTGGCCCCGTAGGTAAAACAGAATTTTGGTTAGAGATCCCGATTCCTCTACCAAAGCCCCGAATAACGCTACCTAACGAGGGAACTAAGGTACCTAATGACTCCCTGGACCTGCGGCCCATTTCCGCTACCGAAATGGTCATCACGCTACCTCAACGGCTACCTACCCGACAAATACTCCTGATTTAATAAATTAGTCAGAAACGGGCTACCAAATTGAATAAAGTCGTTACCGAACGATTAAATAAGGCTACCTAACAGAATTTGTGCCTTAACAACTGATCGGTGGGAATTATAAGGTCGTCTCTCTCTCTCTCGCTCGAACCCGATTAGAACCCCCTGCAGTTTCCTATCTTCCCCACCTAAATAACATAAGTATTTGAATAAAATTTAAAGCCGTTCTCTCTTCCATACTGCGTTATAAAATTCCCATTTATTATTGTTCCCTGTACATTTTATTAAAAAGTTAAATCCTTCTCTTTTGGGCAAATGCCGGTCGTATGTAAAATGTAGACTGGGCAATCTATATTAATTATAAGTTTCCTAATGAACAATATTCATTTTTTTTGTGTCTGGTCAATAGTGGAACAAGTAAAGATATCTTCAATTGGTTTTTTTAATTTTCTTACCCGAATCCCCGTCCTTATAAATACCAAAATAGTTTAATTCAGGTTCTTGAGATTATTTCGAAGTTTGATAATTGAGGCTCTCGTCCACGAATCCGCCCCTCTCTCCACGACCCGCACACTGAGCAACCGAGCAGTCCCGTACCCTCGTACTTCCACGACTCTAGGTTTAGCTTCTGTTGATAGGAAATTCTGGGAATGATCAGTGAAAAATTGAGTTTTGAATACGGTTAGAGTTACGGTTCCGATTCGTCCATTCCGCGTAGCTAAAAATCGGCTAGCGCCCTAAATACATTTTTAAGGAGTGGAATGAGCTGCTGATTACCCCCGGAGTTTCGTTTAGGTTTTTATGGTTTTGTCGTTCCAGAGTCGTCGGAATTGCGAGAACGAAGGTAATGGTTTTGGCCGTGTTTTCGGATATCGATAAAATTGGGTTAGGGTTTCGAGTACTCGTTGAGCCCATAGAGGAAAAATCATTACAAAGGATTCCAAAAACGAGGAGAATTTATCATAAAAGAATTGAGTGCAGTGGTAGTGCAACAGTCGCCAGATATTGAAGAATCTCCCCCCATCGACATCCTCTTTCAACCACCATGTGCCTGGAGTGATCTGGAGATGCAAGATATTGTAACCAACAGGTGGCTAACTCCTAATCATCATGGAATACAATGGAGTGTTGGTGGTTGTGATTACAGTAACATTGACAAAGTTTTCCACAGTTTTCTACTGAATAGTCGGAAATTTTATGTGAAAGGTCTTGAGAAACAGCATTATGTGGAACAACTGCTTGGTGATTCGTACCGTGTTATAAATTTGGATGATTACAATTGTCCAAACATCAACAATTGCTTCTTCAAAGAAACTACTCATCCGGACATTCATCGACACATTAAGACAGCGCAAGAGTTAGTTTGCTGCGCTTTGGTAAATGTACGCTGATTGAAACATTGGTTCCAGAGTACTCATCCAAAATTCGAAAATAGTGAAAAGGATTTCAATGAACTTTTGATTGAAAAATCAGACATTTTTAATTAAATTATTATCTCAAAAACGTTCTTTTGTTTTGGCTTACAAAATGTAAAAATATATTTACACATTCTAAAAATGTTCTTATGTTCATTTTTACAAACCTTTTCACTCCTTTCATTTCCATTCAATATAGAAAAAAAAATCCCTTTTTCCAATTATTATACTTCTTATGTTGTATCCTATCATTTTTTCGATCCATGGAATAGGCATTCACACCACTTCGAAACCACACATTCAAGCGGCTGAGTGTTTTGTTTATACGGTGCGTACGTGCTCACCGGTAAACACACAAACACACAGAAAGCATTCGAAAATCACTGAGTCTCAGGCAATTTTATTAAGAAATGAAATCGATTCGTGTCTGTGTTCTTATCATTAATTGTTATCCAATTAAATGAAGTAATTGATATTCCATTTAAATTGGATACATTCCGTCCAAAAGTGCACAATTAATTTTTGTTTTGTTCAATGTCAGGAACATTCAATGTAAAACCCGAAAAAAAGATCATTGCAAATTATTAAACTTGCGTTATGTTGCATGGTACCATCTTTTGAAGACTATAGTGGAATATTCATTCCACTTCGAAAACGATTCACTGCGCATCCAAGAGGTCGAGTGTTTTGTTTATACGGCGCGTACGTGCTCACCGGTAAACACACGCGGCCACGTGAACAGTGGACCAGTTCGCGCTTCAATCTCAATGAGAGAGAAAGAGAAGTATCGAGTTCAAAATCATTCCTCAGATTTGATACGAAAAAAAAATCATGTTTTTCATTATTAGTTTCTATTACTCCTGATGATTTTGAAGACGAAATTTCAAAATCATGAATTAATTTGTTGTAATTATGATTATTGAGGTGGCATAAAAGAAAAAAAATTCACCGTCAATAGAACGTCTGAAAATTTTAGAAACTACGATTGTCAGCTATGAAATATTAGATATTAGACATCAGAAATGAGATATTTGATAGTAGACATCACATGGTAGATATTGGATATCAGATATCATATGATGGATACATCTCCCCCCCCCCCCCTAACCGAACCAAAAGTTCGACGTCGCCCATTACCATCGCCAATAAAGCAGAACCAGTCAATACCGACCGAGGGCCAAGAAGAATTCGACATTGCCCTCTCCGCAGCCTCACCCCGCCCCGCAGATCCCCATGTCCAGATCGGGCCTTGTTTATCTACTGAGGTAGGATGTTCGGACGGTGAACTTTGCTTTTTATCTTTAAATGATTGAAAGGAGATCATTTATTCCAAAAATCTAAAACTTTGACAGATTACAGGTATTCCATTCCGAGGCCAAGCATTAATGAAATTGATGGCAAAATAAAATGTAAAGAAAAATAAATGTGAAGTATGTCTTCTACCGTTAACAGCTAACTCCTCGTTTTTCATCATTTTTTAATGCCCATTCAAGTACTTCCCGCAACACAAATTTGATCCTAAACTCTAATGTATTTTAGGCTAAAAAGATTTCGATTTAAACAAAAGATGACGTTCAATAGATGGTCCACCCGGGCTTTAAAGGTTGAAACATTAAAGAATTAAAATTTGCAATTATAAAAATTAGCGAATATTTTTTAGCAATTATTACTACAAATTTTTGGTTCCAAATTTGCAATTTGTAATTTGAAAAAAGAAAGCTTACAATGGTCAACTTAGGACTATATCTCTAAAAATTCGATGGTAGAGTTTAATTTTCTATGTGCAATTGTTAATATGAAATTATACAAAAAATGAATACTTGCAATTAAAAAATTAGAAAATAAATTTCTCCATCATTTCAATATTTTCATGAGATAACTTTCATCCGTTCGAATTTCAATAAAATAAAAGACTTGTCAAATAAAAGACAATGCAATTTTGCTGAAAAAATCGGAGAAGCGAAAATAAAGAAGAATGAAGAGTTTGTAAATTAATTGTCTACTGTTGGCCAAAATTATGAAATGTTGCTCAATAGAAACTGCGAAAAATGTCCAGTTCTATCATTAGCCACTCCTGTTAGTGACCCTTTCGCTACGGACGCAATCTTCGGCGCGCTGTATTTTAGTGATAAGTCGAAATAGCATAATTATTATGCCTTATATTGATTTCTATTGATTTTCTAAAGAACTGCTATTAGTCCACTAATTATTGGATAAAATTATGGCTTCATCTCAGAATTTTGCAAAATTTTCCTCTTCAATCTATCGAAGATGATATATGCTAAAAGCATATGATTTCGACATAAAATAATTATTGAGGATGATTCCCCATTACGAAAGTATTTCCACAGTCTTTTCTGTGCAAGGGAAGGAAAGAAACCAATCACAGGAGGGAGTTCCGTTAAGTCATCATTAAAAGATGGAAAATTTTACAATATGCCAAAACGATGAAACGTTTCACTCGAGTTGGTCTATCAATGTCATAATTTCTACAATTTTTTCAGAATTTTTTTGAATATATCATTACTATAGAAATAAATATAAAGAAAAATTATTGCTATTTCCAATATAGAATTATGATCCAATGATAATTTTACAAATGGATAATATGTTTTTCATTTTCAAAATTACCTGAATTGTGGTAAATGGTGTGATGGTTGATGATTATTTAGAGGCTCTGGTGATTGATCCCGTCTTCCGGGCGACTTCCATTCTAACTCCACACAGTAATTATTACAGTTTAGACTGTCAATCATTAAAAGCACATCTCCTGGTTCTAATGACCACTCTTCCTGTATAAAAAAAAAACAAATGACAAATTTGAGCAATAAAAACTTGATGACAAATTTCCACTCTTTGGCTATGTCACAAAACTATACCTTAGATTCAACCTCGTATTTCTCATCATCAGAACACTCGATTGTCCACTCATTCTCGCACATGTCCATTTTTTATAGTACGAATTTTCATCTATATAAAGTTATAATGACAATAAATGGTTTCATGAAATTCTTCATTATTCTATTCGTAACAATTATTCACAGCAAGTTATGTACAATATCCTAATTACTAACGATAGATATCAAACTATAATTTCTTCAAGTGAATATGGATTTGACTCTGTGAGTAGAGTTAACCAACCAATATTTTGATGTGTTTGGCGTCAATGTTTCGGAGAATGAATAGGTTAGACCAAAGAATACAACCAGAGATTATAGGGGAGATTGCTAACGCCAATGGCGAAGCTTCAACCGCGAAATTTCCTAGCGGAACTGGCGGAACTAATTTTGCGGGTGTACCTGTGAATCAAACAGGTGGCGAGGGCAAGAGTGTCGGTAATTTTCGGAGGGCGT